ATCCAAGTCTCAGAAACTGCCTGGACAAGTCCCTGCATTTGTCTTGGCAAGATTTTTCAGAAGTGGTTTGCCATTGCCTCCTTCCTAGGGTGAAGAGAGAGGGACTGGCCCAAGGTCACTGAGCTAGCTTTGTGCCTAGGTGGGACTAGAACTCACAGTCTCCCAGTTTCTAGTCTGATTTCTTAACCACTGCACCAAACTGGCTCTCACCAAATGATATAGCTGAATGGAAAAGTAGAATTGTTGGCGGTTGAGGCAATCTCTCTTTCTGTGTGATTGTTCCTGAAAGCAGGAATTTGACCTGAACAATGATTAATAAAGCAGATGTTATAACTATAACAGAAAGGAGAGTTATATTAAGGAAATGCACCTAGCTAACTCCATCCTATGAGAAGGAGAGTTAACTCCATCCCATGAGAAGGAGAGTTAAAAGAGCATGTCCTCTGTGTATGTATGTGGCAGGGAAGAAAAGCAATAGGAAATGATACCAGCTTAGCAGTCTTCTAGGCAAAGAACAGACACTGAGGTCATGAGGTAGTGAAGAATCAGCCCCACATTAACTGGCCCTGTTTCAAAAGGCATTAAAATACCATCGTGCATTCAAAATCTGTTCAGGACCATCTCAAACTGCATACTGCTTTCATTCTAGGACAAACATACTGTATACTGGAGATGGAAACAATCAGCTTGACTAGTGTTCAAGACTTCTGTATAATTTAATTATTAAACCATTACTTGACACTTACGAACTTGTGACACACATGAAGAAGGCTCCATGACTGAACTACAGTCTTATGTTAACTATGTCACCTATCTGCCAAATATTTGGGAGAGGCCTACTGTTGATGTTTTTCAGGTGCTTATTAAATCTTCTCTACCAAAGTCTCTCTCTACATTTTTAATACTCTGTGTGTGTGTGTATTGTATTAGGTATGCAAAATATTTCAGTTTTAACTTTGATACATATTGCACATGGCTATTTTATATCAGCTTTTAAAAATTAAGGTAACTTTGTTGTATTTTTAATAGTTTTATTCTCCTTATTTACTTACTTGAAGATGTTAACATAGGGTGACAAAATAAGGAAAGGAAACAGTACGTATGAGGATGCAGCACGGTACTGAGTATTACTACTCTGATGGGAAGCCTCTGGAAATTGCCCCAAGCTAAAGCCAGAACATCGTTATGCTTGGATTGGCATTTATCAGTTGAAACTAATGCATTGTGAAGCTGAGATTTAATATAATACAGTTAACATTTTGAATTGTTATCACAATGTTTTAAAATGCTGGGCATCAGGATGTCTTGTGATATAAAGGGATTTAAATATTCACATTTCAGGATTGTTTTAATAATTCCTTGTAGAGTGTGAATCTAGTATTGACTTTACTTGGCGATAACTAATGACAACATAATACTGTTGACTAAGAATTTAAGAAGGACCCCAGAAAAATGTTTAAATAAAACCCCTCTTGTCATTTTGGTTCCTTAGTGGCCTTACTGTGAGAAACGCTGCAATTACTGTAACTTCAACAAGTATATTCCCCGAAATCTTGATGAGCTTAGAATGAAGAACTGCCTCATTCAGGAGGCCCAGACCTTGATCCAGCTAAGTGAAGTTCAGAGGTAAGTAATAGGGCAAGGAGTAAAAAAGATTTGGAAGACTCCAAATGTATTTTTTAGATTTTTAATTACATAAAGATTTCTTCCCATACACATCATTCAGCTGTCTTACAAGTCAGTACATTCTGTATAGTACACACTGCAATTCCCCAAAAGTCTTCAAATATAGCACCAAGGAGACTTATTTATTTATCAGATGTATATAGCCGCCCACCTCACAAACATGACAATAAAACAAAAACAAATCTAAAATAACCATTAAAAACAATTCAACATAAATACAAATAAGACTGCGGGAAAATGGACCAACATTCTATACATAATATAGCCACCTTGCGGGATTTGTTTCAAATTGAGATGAATCCAAAGAAACACTTGGAAGTGTTTTTGAGCTTGAAATGGAGTGTTTATACTCAAAACAGCAGCTCAATTTCAGACACTTCTAAAATGATCAAAACAGCCTGTTTTAAACTTAAGACTGGTGTCTCGCATTTGAAGCCAGAACATTTGCATTTGAAATGGTTCGGAGTGTTTTGCACACACCTAAAATGTACAAAGAATGCTAGAGGACAGAGTGGGATTCCTCGTTTCTACCATTTCCTCTCATGAGAGGTTAAGAAAATAGGGAGAGGACAATCAGTTCAAATTATATTCTCTTCTTTTTTGGCTTTAGAATCACTTCAGTATACTTTGGTGGGGGAACACCAAGCTTAGCTAGCCCCCTCACCATTGCTGCGATCTTGGACGCTGTCTCCCAACATGCTCATTTAGCAGAAGGCACCGAAGTTACTTTGGAAGCAAATCCCGCTTCAGCAGATGCCCTCTGCCTTTCCGAGTTCCAGAAAGCTGGTGTCAACCGCCTCTCCATTGGTATTCAGGTGAGAGGTCAGGAACATTGCTTTCAGGACTGTATTAGTTAGCATCCCCTTACAATACTAGAATAATAAAGCTAAAACCTTGTGCTTAAAATAACCTGGGCTAACGTTAAGCAATTTTACATATGTAGAATTGTAGAAAGGGACCAAAATATCTCCCAATCTGTTCTGCTCCACTGGTTGTCTTCTTCCTTCCCTCCCTCCCATATACACGCTTCAAACTACAGTGTGCCACAAGCAGAAAATAAGAATTGACAAACTACTCCAGAGTTACAAATTCAAAAAAGCCTTTTCACACGCTGCAGGGGAATAAAAACCTAAGATTATAGCCAATCTGACTTATGGGAAATTTCTTCCTAGTTTTAATGAGGTTTTATAATTAAAACATGTAGGGGTGTTCTGTAAATTTGGCGTGGGGTATGACAAACAGCAGCTTGATTGAGATTTTTGCTGGGATAGCAGCATGGGAAAAAGATTTAAGTACATGTTTCTGTTGCTATTCTGGTCAGCGTATTAATGGGTTTCTTTTAAAAAGTAGACAGCTCTTCTCCGTGTAAAGTGTAATTTGGTTAACAGTTTATCCTGGGTAACTCCTTACCCCCCCCTTTTTTTTTTTTTTTTTT